GAGGCATAATAGTTATTTCTAATGAAAAGACCTGTACCTAATACATTATCATGGTACTAGACAACTGAAGTAGGGTGGAAGAGCAGCTTGCTAGAAGGGAGAAAGTCAAAGAACTGAGAACCCAGAGTTTTCCAGAGGTGGAATATACAAGGAATTTTAGTGTTAATTTGTCATAAATTTCAGAGGGCAAACTGGAAGGCTGAGAAAGGAAGAAAGATTGAATTAGATAAGGGGATGTTGAAAGCCATATGGTGTTAAGAATTCAGGTGATGAGCAATGACTTGGAGGCCTTAGATGGAAAAAGGATTGTGAGACCCCCCTTTCACTGCCCCCTGACCCCAGCCTCTCATACAGAGGTTAAATAAAGTTAAATAAACTTAAAAAAAATAACCGTTATGACAGAGGGTCAATAACAAAGGCAATAGTAATCTTAAAATTTGGGTATTTTTAGAAGTAGAGTTTCTTGTATTTGTTAAAATGAAAGCAATGAGATTTGTAATATCTACAGATATTAATATATATCCCGAGTGCTCCTTGTCTGTTCTTGGTTTCCCACATAAAATAACATGCTAGTTTGTGATTTTATTTTTCTTCTCCAGGCCAAAACAAAAGTTTTCTGCAGAGCAGCTATGGGGGGTGGGGGTGGGGTGGGGGAACAGGGTGAAGTCTTCCCTCTGGAATCTTTGCTCCCTGACACAGAGAGAGAGCAGGCACTCTGCCACATTCCCTCAGGAGCTGAGAACGCAGGGATCTCAGAGGGGTTGTTACTTTGAAATGGTGTGAGGTTTCCTGCTTTGTCAGAAGCCCTACTGAGGGGGAAATTGAAGGTGCATTGTGGAAACCTTCATTCCTGCACCGGCACAGGAAATGACAAGTTTTCAGGAACTCTGTGGTTACTGTAAGGGAACTGGCTTTGGATTTTTATTTCTAAATTCTCTGAATTTAGGTGTCTATTTTAGGCTCTGCTCTGCATGCAGGTTCATCTGACAGCACTTTTTCATCTTTAAATTGAAATTGGCTAGCTGCAAACTTTATCAGTGAAAACTAAATTCAAATCTTGGGTATTGATATATAGAAAATGCGGCTTGCGATTATGGCCTTAGATTATGATGATATAGGTATGAATTGGAATCTTTATAGGCAAATTTTAGAAATAAAGTCATAAATTTGCCTGTGGTAATATGTCAATCAAGCAGAAAATAGGAGAATATACCGTAGTTTGTAGACTAGCATCCTGTCACAACATTTTTGGGATATTTGGTTCATATTCTGTCACACATTCTTAAGAACAGTTATGCAATTGCCTCCAAGATGTTGGCTGTTTCAGACAACCTTTAAAGTTAGGGTCCTTTCTCCCCTCTTTATTGGATGCAAGTAATCTGTTTTTATGTGGTGGTAGAGGGTGATATTTCTCCTAAACAAACTTCTGTTTTGATCTTTCAAAATTTTTAAAGAATTGAGCTTAAAAAAATAAGACTCTCTCTGAGTGGAAGGTGGCTCACTTTCACCTGTTGCAGCCCAAAGTGGAAGTTCTGAGCAGACTCTGTGGTTAGAGAACCAGGCTCTGCCACATGTGTGACTCTGGAGAAGTGACTTAAGCTCTCTGCACATGCTTTCCAATCTGTGAAATGAGAATACTAGAGCTATTATAAGGTTTTAGTAAGTTAAAATTTGTCAAGTGCAAATCATGTGCTAAATACTATATGAGGACTTGTTTAAAAAAAAAAAAAAAGCAAAACCAGGGGCACCTGGGTGGCTCAGTTGGTTGCATCTCTGACTTTGTCTCAGGTCATGATCTTGTGGTTCATGAGTTCAAGCCCCACATCGGGCTCAATGCTGTCAGCACAGAGCCCACTTCAGATCCTCTGTCACTCTCTCGCTTCTCCTTCCCTGCCTGTACTCTCAAAAATAACACATTTTAAAAAAGAGGTAAAGCCAAATGATTTTCTAATGATACAGTCTTTCAGAAATTTGAGGTGTTTGCTTCTGTAAGGAACAATAACAAGTTAGTCTGAATTTGTTCAGTTGTCTGCTAATCAACAGTATCTAGAGATCTAACACAAAATATGAGTCCTCGTAAAATGGTGGGTCTGCACTTGTAGAAGGGGTGTTTCCTTGTAAGGAACACAACCTCAGTAAATTACTGAGACTCTTACTGTCAAACATTTTTATCCAAGTGTGATAAAGTGTAGCTCTTTATTTCAGCCCTCTGCTTACAATTTTTGAAATATTTCTGAACAAATGACCAAGACACCACCTTGGACCAAAAGATTCTTGTATCTTATGGTGTCAAATACTATACCTTGAATGCAGTCCTGATTTGTAACCAATGAAAGGAGAGGCTTCATCCTCAGAAATCAGCTAATATTGCCATTAGTAAAGGATAGGGGTATCCTTTTCTTTAAGAACTTTGCTGGGGAACCAAAAATTTATTTTAAAGCCTTGCTCAGTGCTTCAGGTGTCTGGATTTAGGCAAATAATATCACATTATTAGCGTAAAGATTTAAAGAGAAAACATATCTAAGATATTGTCAGTTTTACAAATTCGTATATAATTTCTTGTGTTTTTTCATATCATCTACTCAACTAACTAAATAGCCCTGAATTTTATTTATCTTAAAAAAATGTTTTTAGTGTTTTATTTATTTTTGAGAGAGAAAGTGCATGCAGGGGAGGGACAGAGAGAGAGGGGGACAGAGGATCCGAAGCAGGCTCTGCGCTGAGAGCAGCAAGCCCCATGTGTGGCTTGAACTCACAAAGTGTGAGATCATGACCTGAGCAGAAGTTGGAGACTCAACCTACTGAGCTACCCAGGTGCCCCAAATACCCTGAATTTTAAAGATGTTTTGCCAAAAACAACCAAACCAACCAACCAACCAAACCTACAATAAAACCCAACCAACCCCAAATCTTTCAAACCGTTCATTTTGCCAATATATAAAGTTTTGGGGAGAGGATGTCCTGGTAGTTGAAGACTTTGGCTAAGAGCTAGATGGATGTAGGCTTGAATCCTGACCCTCCCACTTATTAGTTATACTATCTTGACACGTTATAAGGCCTCAGTATACATGTAGGTTTGTTCACAGGCCTCAGTTTGTATATAGTTATAGGGCTGTAAGAAATGAATATATTCACAAGTATGGAATGTTTTGGACTCTGCTTGGCACAGAGTAATTGTTCAACAGATGTTGATGGTTACATGACTGAGAATCTGGCTCCATTGTGAACAATCATTTCACTCTTTAAAGACAAGACACTTCCTAAGAATTAAGTTACCTTGGTTTTTCTCTCTCTTCTTCTACAATGCCACTCTATCTAGAAATTAGAAAGCCTTGGGGCACCAGGCTGGCTCAGTCAGTAATATCAGGCCACTCCTTGATCTCGAAGTTGTGAGTTGGAGCCACGTTAGGGTAGGGTTTACTTAAAAGAAAAAAAGAAAAAAGAAAAAAGAAATTAGAGAGCTTTGACATGATTGATACATTTAAATGTGGGATTAGATATTCACACCCAATTCGAGTGTTACTGTCTGCACTTGAAACTTAAACTTGACAATGTGAGGCATGAGTACTATGTAATTTGAGTCTATGTGAAATCTAAGGCCTTAAATCTGGAAAGACTATGTCAAAGTTGAGGCTAACTTCACCTAGACTCTTAAGGGTAGTATGCTTATGTGTATCTCCAAGGCCTAGTTCAACCCTTTCAAGCAGCAGGCTCTCAATAAATATTGTTAAGAAACAAATGGTTCATGGAGGAGGTTTGCACAGGTAATCAGGTAATCAAAGGCCCTTGACTTTTATGAAAGCATGTAGTGGATTCCCTATGTATAGGCACAAGACAAAGAGCATAAGAAATACTTCCTCTTCTCTCAAAGTAGGGAAATCGAGTAACTTTCTAAATAATGATACAAGCAACAGGATAAGAAACCTCCCTATTCCATTCCAATATAGGAATGGACCTATTTAGTAGGGTCCAGAGCACTTCAGAGCTGGGAGAGGTGTCCTAGGCCAAGGTCCTCATTTCACAGAGGAGAAAACAGACTTGGAGAGTTGAAGTCATCTGTCCAAGGTGCCACAGCTGGTCTAAGGGTAAAGACAGGACTGGAAGTCCAGTCTCAGAAACTTGTCACCACATGATCATTTCACCTGCCTGTTGGGAAAACAGTGTCCTGTGCCTTAACCATGTCTTTTAATAGAAAAAGGAGGTGTAAACTGTAGTGTCAAAGTGGGGTTCTGATCACTGCCTTCCTCACTCTTGCAGTGCACGGTTCACAGGCTCAGGGACGCAGAAGCTGCACCTTCGTTTGCATCGCGCAGATGTTAGGATCACGCCAGTAGTGTTGACTTAGCTCCTTTTTTTGTATTCATTTATTTATCGAGCAGGAGAATGGCTGGGTTACTGCGCTCTCTGCTGTTAGAGAGGAGGCCGCAAGACCCCGCTGGCGCCCACCCTCAGAGCGCATCTTGAGATAACAAGCAGGATCGCAGGTGGGAAAAACAAACAGGGATACAATAAATGTGTGCATGAAGGGGCTTTGCTAAAAAGTGGGCAGGAGGGTGTGATCAGTTTACTGGAGTAGATTTTTTATATCGAGGCTGAGGTAACCAAATAAAAACCCAGCGCCTCCAGAGACCAGGAAAGTTTGAAGGACGTAGTCCGAGGGAGCAAACCCCCGCACCTAGCGTCCGCGTACCGCCACCGCCCGCAGGACTGTGACGCCCACTCGCCGCCCCCCATCTCTGGCGCGCAGCAGCCGGGCAGTTCCGGGTGCTCCTCCTCTCTCCCCCACCACCCTCAGCCCAAAGGGAAACGCTGGCTCCAGCGGCGCTCGGGGCTCATCCATCAGCCGGGGAGGAAAAGGGGGAGGAGGGAAGGGGCGGGCGGCGGGAGGAGGAGTTTCTCCGCCGCGCGGAGCCCTCGGTGGGGCGGCGGGGGAGGAGCGCCCTTCCCCCCGCGCGCTGATTGCTGTGGCGTCCCGCCCGGCCCCGCCCGCGTGTGTGTGTGAGGGAGAGCTATAGCGCAGGGTCGGCCTGATGGGGGTAATCGAGGGTTTCGGGGACGCCGAGTGGCGTTTTCCTCTTCCCAGTGAGTGAGGGAGGGCGAGCGGCGGCTCTCGTGCTCGGCCACTTTCCCCGGGCGATTCCCGGAGCTCCCTGCAGGAGGTGAAAGTCCCGGCGGGTCCGGATGGCGTAGTTGCGCCGCGGCGCAGCAGCTGCTGGAGCTCACCGCCGCCGAGAGCTGGGCGGGGAAACTTTCCTCCGCTTGCCTCCAACTTGCGGCGGCTGGATCTCTGCGTGACACACCGCCTCCGAGGTACGTGCGGGCCCGGCCCCGCGGCGCTGCAGGCTGCGCCGGGACGCCCCTGGCCGCGCCGCCAGCCCTGCACACGCTCCGGCCTCGGGCGCTGCAGGCTGCGCGGTGCCTGTCGGCGCTGCACGAGCCTCCGTGCCTGTTCGCGGCCGGGGTCGCTCCGGCCGCACGGACCCCTCGGGCTCGGGAGGGGGGCGTTGGTCCAGCCCTGTTTACGCTCGGAGGAGCCGCGACCCGTGGCCGGCGGTGCGTGGGGAGCCGCCGTCTTGGGTCGGGTGGGCAGCGCTCCCGGCGATGCGCTGTCCTGGGGAAGACGTCTCCTCCTCCACGCCTGTCCTCACTCTTCCTCTCCACGGTTTTTTCCGACCCCTGCGGGGCGCGCCGGCTACTTCCCTCTGGGCGCGTGAGAGCGTCGGTGGGAAAGGTTTGTTGTGGGTTTGCACTCAACTGCCGTTGCAGAGGCTGCGCCCGGAGACTGGCGCACCGGCTCGAGGTGCGCTCCCCTCAGCCCGCGCCCTCCGGGTTTAGTGCGGGCGGCGCGGAGCGCTGCAGCGCGGGGCCCCGCAGGGAGCGCGCCCCCTTTTAACAGATTAGCCCCTTACCCAGTTCATTTTGAAGGCTTCTCTTAGCGTCTTCATTTGGTTAGAACAAACTGGAAATCTTGGGCTGTTGCTAGAAGAATCTGCTTGCAAACTTGTTATTAAAGTGGGCATTTGCCCACTTTCCAGAATCACGTAGGGTAGGGAGTCGCCGTTGTCGAGCGGGAATTACCTTGGCACGGTGGAACTTAATTTAGTGCGTACCAAAAGAGCTGAGAAAAGAAAATCGCTCAATATCCTTAGCTGTAAAATGGGAATAATAATAGTTCTGGTCTCATAAAGTCACTGTGAGGACTGAATGATTTAATATGTGTCAAGTACTAGAACAGTGCCTGGCGCCGAGCAAGCGCTGCACAGGTGTTAAAGCTGCTTGTCCAGAGCCCCGAGGTGATGGGAAAAGAGCAAAGAGGGTAAAGGATGGTGGGAGTGACAGCCGGAGATGGGGAACCACGCGTTTTCTGAACATCTCTCTTCTAAGAAAAGTGAGCGGTTTGGGTGGAAAGAGGCATCTATCAGTAACAAAGCACGTGACAAGACCTTTTACTTGTCCTGAAATGGTACTTTCAGGCTGCAAACAGTTACTTCACTGTGAAATCAGCTATTTCTCTCTAGTAATAATAGCTAATGTTTATTGAGGCCAAACTGTGTGTCGCTCTCCTGTATGCCTTGAGGATCATTTAACCCCCACTCCAACTCTAGGTAAAAGCATTATCAGGCCCATTTTACGGCTGAGATTATAGAGGTTAGTTATTTGCCCAAGCTAACACATAATTTTCTGTCAGTTCTATCTGACTCCAGAGCTAGCTTAGCCAGGGAGAGCAGCAAGTGCAGTCAGATGTGTGTGTGGTGAGCCCAGGCGTCTTCTGCTGCTGTTCAGTTTCCCATTCGAGTTGGACACATCTCTTGAAACAGGAACAAGGTATCTGTAATTAATTTAGGTGATAGACTTAACTGGGATGCCAAATTACAGTTCTGAAACTGGATCCAAGTAATTAGAAACAGAATCTTGATTTGGATTAATTCATATGAATACTTATTCTTAATTTCTTTTATTCTCTACACATTGTCAGAGTTACTTGGCTTCCTTAGGAAACAGCTTGGGGTTGGCACAGGAGGCAGGGAAATAATTCTTACCCCCTTAAGGGCTATTAAAATGAAATTGATTTCATACCATTGTGTCAGTTAAAGGATGTTGCTCTGTTTCTTGGTGTTCTCTGCTTTTGGCTTTAATTCTGCATTGTTTAGTGTTTCAAGGCTTCAGCATAGTTTCGGCCCTTCAGTTTGTCTTTGTCATTTGTCAACTTTAATTTTTCCTGTTTTGATGGAATCTGACCATTACATGGCAGCTTTGCTTAACAACTGTTGATCCAGCTCATGTTTTTAAATATAGAAATCACCAACTTACTTTTGAACCCCAGCACTTCAAAGGCAACCCTGGGGGAATTCATTGTTATTTTGAATATTAGCCAATAGGGGGAGCATAACACACTATTGATGTCTATCAGGGACTTAAACCAGTTTTTAGAGTATTAAAAATGCATTTCAGAAGTGGAAAATGCTGCTTTATCTAGCAAAATCACCAAGTTGCTTTCTGAGTTTACAGTGGAAAACTGGGTTTAATTTCAACTGATTATAATTAGAATGACTTTGAGGACCAGGCCTATATGTTGGATATATGTCAAGAACTCTCTGGTGGCTGGACAGATATTAAATACACATGCATGTAGTTTTTTTCCATTTGTTTTCCCTAAGAAGTGTATGTAAGATAATTTTGTATAATTTGAGTAATATTTCAAGTTATCCAGGTGAACTAGGAGTCCAGAGAGATCCATTGTGAATCCCTTTGTAATGATCCTCATTTGTCTTTTGTGGAAAATTGGATGCAGCGAATTTGTTTTGGGGAAGGTTGATACACTCACAATCCTGTCATTATCATTCTTCATTAACATCTTCCAAGTGTAAGACAATGAGGGATTGTTATCCTGAGTAGCAGCAATTCTAGGCATTCTTCAGAGGCTTATATTTTAGTATATAGTAATAGTTCAGAAGTATCATATTTGTCTCGTAGAAGTGTAATGTGTCTGTTGACACTCATTCTTGTAAACAAAATATAAACATTAAGAATTAACATGCCTGGGGGCACCTGGGTGACTCAGTTGGTTAAGTCATCCGACTTGGGCTCAGGTCATGATCTCACTGTTCCTGAGTTCAAACCCTGCATCTTGCTCTGTGCTGGTGGTGCAGAGCCTGCTTGGGGTTCTCGTGTTCTCCTCTCTCTCTGCCCCTCCCCCTCTCATGCTTTCTCTCTCAAAATAAATTTTTAAAAAATTTAAAAAAGAATTAACATGCTTGTAAAACAATTAATGGTTTAGCAAAGTTTTCAACCTTTGCCTGCAGTTTTGTATGCCAGTTTCCCTTCTTTATTCTTCTCCTCCTCCTTCTCCCCCTCCTCTTCTTCTTCACTTAATTATTTTGAGAGAGAATGTGTGATCAAGGGAGGGGCAGAAAGGGAGAGACCCCGAAGAGCCTGATGTGTGCCGATCCCATGACTGTGAGATCATGACTTTAGCTGAAATCAAGAGTCTCAACTGACTGAGCCACGCAGGTGCCCTAGCTTGTTTCTTGTGTAGTAGGTAATTTTGACTTTATTTCACTTAGCAAGTTAGGGTCATGTGGATCCTTTTAAAAAATAACATTAGGGGCTCGGTTGGGCATCTGACTTCGGCTCAGGTCATGATCTCACGATTAGTGGGTTAGAGCCCCGCGTGGGGCTCTGTGCTGACGGCTAGCTCAGAGCCTGGAGCCTGGTTCAGATTCTGTGTCTCCCTCTCTCTCTGACCCTCCCCTGCTCTCTCTCTCTCTCTCTCTCTCTCTCTGTCTCTCAGAAATAAATAAAACATTAAAAAAAATTTTTAAACAATTAGAAAAAACTTTAAAATTTAGTCTCTCAAAATCTCAGCATTGCAAAATACTACTTCAGGTTAGCATTTTATTTAGGATTTAATTTAGTTTTCCATGCTCTCACGTGGCTTCTACTCCTTCAGCAAACATTTTTCAACCCCCCCTACTTCTTCTGATAGGCTTCTGGTTCCTGGTCTTGGAGTTTGGCAAATTAGCTGTCCTCCTTCAAGCCTCTGATAGCAGGGGGCCAAGATGCCTTAAGGCTTCCTGAGGCTTGTCATGGAAAGCCTTTATAGATTGTCAAAATTGGTTAATTTAAAGGACGGGATTGTTCAATTTTTTGAAGACTACTCACAGGAATTAGGGGCACCTGGGTGGCTCATTCAGTTGAGTGTGTGACTCTTGATTTTGGCTTAGGTACTGATCTTATGGTTGATGGGTCTGTGCTGACAGTGAGGAGCCTGCTTGGGACTGACACTCTCTCTAAAATAAATAAATAAATAAACAAACAAACTTAAAAAAAGACTCAAAGCAATTAGTTTTTCCTTTTTGTGTGCACACTTAGTTGTAGCTTGTAAAAAAAAAGTCTGGTGCGTTTCCTGAAGGGAGAATCTGGGACTAAGCGCTCAGGGAACTCAAAGTGTCCTTTTGAGTATGGTACTAAGAAGGTGATCACTACTGACTTATTTAGTACTGAAATGATCACCCGTTTCCTGGGGTCATAAATCTGTGGAAAGTTCTGACTTTACATTCCAAGCTTCACAGAACAGTTAGAATTCAGACTGAGAAGTATTAACATTGCTGTAATTTTTTTTCTGGACGAATTTGCTATCATCATTGTGAATTATCCCTATTCTTGATAATCTGTCTTGAAAATTTTTTTTTCCTTTGTTGCTATTGGACAAAAACTAATTATAACTGTCAGGTTCATTAGTTAATGACAGTCTTCCCTTCCCCCCCCCCCTTTATTTTGCTCTTAATAGCTATTTGGAAAATGATTTTTATTACTTTTCTGTACATTGGATCATTTTCTTATTTTTTTTAACTTAAAATTTTGAAACTTAAAAAATATTAACTACTTCTTGAAATTTGCATAATTCAAGTAAGTGTTTTTCAGGGATCTTTAACTTATAAGTGACCTTGTATCACCTGTAGCAATACTGGAATGTAAAAGAGTAATTTGAGGTCATATGAAAAACTAGCCTTTCACAAGTAACAGTTAGCCTTTAGTTTCAGTGAGAGCTGTTGTAGCTTTGGAAGAAAATAACTGCACCAAGATCCATGGTAGTAATTTCTCTGGTACATCTTCAGAGTTAATACTTGGAATGATATAGCATTGTCTCTTAATTTGTTTGGTATCCAGTCAAGCTAAAATAACACAGTTTGGAATGACTTTATAAAAAATGATCTAGGTCTTTTTCCTGGGTTCTGTCCATTTCTGTACCTTTTTGAAATAGAACATGTGTTTGGTAACTGACATTGAGCTTTATTTTCTCTGTTTGC